TTTTAAAGTGATCCTTAACTACATAAATGTGCGTTTGTTATTCCTATAATTATATATATAAATTCATTTAATTTAAAATATTCAAGAGTAATAATACAGACAGCAATAACCACAGTACCATTCATTCACGACGTGTTGTACAATGTTGTAGAAAGATTTTTTTAAATGTTAAGAGCGATATGGATTGCCGACACTTGGATGATATAGTTAGAAAATGTTCTAAAAAAATCTCCGTAAAATATATTCATTGAATAGGAACTCATTGACATGCCTTTTATTTCTTAATGCAGACATTTGCCGGCTCCTTCTAGCTATAAAGTCCGACTTGTAAAAATATCTGAAAAGATTTACTTACAGAAATAAATATCATGTATCATTTATCATTCAAAAAGTCTGGGTCCTGTTATTAACATTGTCCACCCATGCTTTTATTCATGACAACCTCTTCTCATATAAAATATTAGCTTTGTCGTTTAAATATCAAGTTCTGTAAAAAGATTTATTACTAAAAAAACATGGTTTCTAGATCTATTAGCGCTTTATTTATGCTATTTTACGTATACCTAACACCCTGTATGTTTTATTTAAAAAAGATGTTTAAACAGTTAACCATGTATGGTGATGTCTCAGATGTAGATAATATATTATGTAGATATGGGGTTTGAAGTAATTATTTATCAGTTACCGTTATTTGCTTACCTAATTAGCCGCTCCAAGCATCGTTAGTATGGTAATTCTGGCGCGCCCTCTGCCGGCCATGTTAAGTGTTCTGTGCTAAGACGATTAAAACAACTAAATACTTGGGACGTGTTACGTCAAACACTTTGATTGACTGCGGCGCCATTGTGTTCATGAATTATTCATATTTATAATTATTATGAAGACTTACAGAGGATTAAAGCGTTATTGGTCTCGTATAGGTGACAGTTTTCAAGACTGGCTAGAGATTGGTGGATTAATTTTAATCATCAATTAGTTATTTCGTAATTACTAAAAAAAACCTGATTGGCATCAGCGATATCGTTATAAGATAGAGTGAATCAACAAGTTCATTGGTCTTAAAAAAGACAAATTAAAAAATCGCGTCAATTATGGAGAAATCGAGGAGGTCAGAACACAGTTAAATAAATTAAACCTCAATATGTCCAAATTAACAAATTCTTACATTTTTAACTTTATTTTATAAGAGTTTAGATCTTAAGAACATCCTCATCCTCCGAAATTTACCAAAAATTTGGAAAATTTCAGATAATTTCAGTCTACTACAACACGAATAAACTTCGATTTTAAAAAGCGAAGCGACTGCCATCAGAGCTCCACTACCCAAGTCCTAGGCGACTGTACTTTCATACGCTCCAAGTACCCGTAACGATTGCCACAGATGTTCACTGACCACCATACACTGACCTGGCCAGGTTTCCTCAACTTTACATTTAAGCATATGTACCTACTCGTTTACCAGTTAGCCACGTAATATCACTTTACAATAAACGTTTTTAGATTCCCAAAGCGTCACACGTCCAATCATTAGAATTAAGCAAAGCATTCAAGTTGGTAGAGTTCTGGTATCCCGACCATATCAATTAGCTCGTAACATAAGTGGTACATTACGTAGGAGTATAGTAAATGTTCCCGTTTTGATGGATGTGCGCGCACGAGCCGCATGCCTAATTAAGTAATTAAGATAAATAGATAGGAAAAGCACGTAGGTGCCACGGACCGACGCGTACAGACAGTCATACAGATCTAATGGAGTTTTGGTCCCCTAATAGTTACAGAGACTTGAAAATGAAATCTTCGATTTCGATTCGGCGATTTTTTGAGCTCATAACTATTGTTTAAGTACTGTTCTTGGAGGTCTGGTTAAGTTTTCTGTCTTTCCTAGAGGTCAAATTGAGTGTTAGTTGTCTCTAATTCTTATAGATATTAGGTTAGGTATAGGTTTGTTTGTTTTTAATGCTTATCTCAATTTTAAATATTATCATCAGTCTATTTTCAATCAGGTTAATTCCTCCAAATAGTAATAATCTACTAAATTAACGCCGGTTTATGGCGCCCGTATTTTATTGCCGCTCAAGTACAATTACAGTAGGTAAGTATAAGTATATTACCACTCATAAAATGTTATAGACGTCAATTTATTATTACGTTCTATACAACGGTAAGCTGATGCTACCTAATCTAACGCTGATCGGTACAAAATAGCCGATACACGGTGAATACGCAATAGATTTTTTTTCCTGTGCGGAAATTCCCTATGATACCACCCACCGGTCGGATGGTTATGTCGGACTCGAACCGACCAAAAGCCTCACGCCGTCTCGGATACCAGTTGCCGGGTAACCAGGCGTACCCTAGAAAGGAAAGCCCTGGTACCAATACGGACCTCCGGTCATCTACGGCATGTAGATAAAACCCTCGTGTGGGAACCCCTACGTCCCCTTTGTGTTCCGGAACAACAATTCACAAATTGTTGTTCTGAGTCTAGGTGTTCTTTGTGTCCGTTTAATGTATGTTTGTAAAGTCCCCCGCCATACAGGATATAGTCCTAGTCCGGGACATAACGAAAGGAGGGAAAAAGCCCAAAAACTGATATATGATCTGCAAGTATTTGTTTCCAATATTGGAGCCTAATTGGACCACTTCTGAATTTTTACTAAAATGGCACTATGGTATATTGGCACAAAAATGAGCGTCACAAAATGGTGGCTTATTAGTGGCGTTACTAGCGCTCCTTTTTGTGTTGCTAGTGTAAAAAATTTGGGCTCTTTTAGTAAAAATTTAGAAGTGGTCCAATTTAAGCGCCGGTTCAATATTGGTTACTCTCCCCTGTAGTATGTATGTATTTACAAAAAAAAAGTATATAAGTGTCATACTATCCGTCAATCTAGTTTTCATAGAACAAGCTCTGCTTAGTTTGAATATAAATGGTGAAGAGTGTCAAAGATATTCCTAGAGTCTGGATGACGGCAATAAGCTTGCCCGTATTAAGAAAGCGATATTAAAATTTGTAGTCGGAAAAATGTGGGCATTTAATCCGCCTCTATTAATCTTTGCTGGGATATAAGCATGAAGTTATCTATATGTAGTTTTATTACTGGATTTAACTTGAATATTTGGACCAAAGTTGCAAATCTTGTATTAAATCTTACAAGATTTACTTACAAGATACAAGACAGTTTGAAATACAAACAAAGCCAATGGTTTTGGTTGATTTTTTTGCTGAACTAAAGCTGATGTATGTCGAGGATAATATTTTAGGACTGACGCTTTGAATAAAACATTTGTTGCGTAAACTTTATGGACGGGCACAATATCTCAGTAATAGGAAAGGCTTACGTTTTATTTTTCAAAAGTCGATCGGAGCTCCTACTATTGATAGATTACGACTATTCAATTCCTTTAAGCGGCTGAAATTCAGAGACGCAATCAAATTAGTTGTGAATAGGCGTATTTAGAATTAGATTGTATAGTGCTCTAATTAATAAATAATAAATTTACCAAAAAAAACCGACTTCAAAAAACACTATTCCAAAACAAATTAATATGCACTAAAAAGTAAAATAAATGCGTATTCTTCTACAACTTAAGAATCAACTTACTTTTTCTACTCATCTATAAGTAGGTACGATCTATGTGTTTACCACGCAAGAAGGTAGGTAGGTACCTACCCACTTCAAATCTAACTCAACATATAAGTACCTATGAATAACAAACAACGATCATAATATTTTTTAGAGTTCTCCTAAGTAAAATGAAATGAAAAATATTAGACTACTTAAAAGTCAATCAAATTATTACGATAATATAATGTAGTTACAATTATTGTTATTTTTGGAGTCGGTGTCAGCCAAGGTAACACTATGATATACATAGCAATAATAATACGAGAACACTTTAAGAAATATTTTTTTACAAATTAACTTTTGTACGATCGACAATATTCTGTTGCGAAGAGCGCAAAGATAGACTTTCGAAACTGCGGCTTTAAATGAAAAAGGTTTTGAATAGGGAAAATATCGAAAAACGTAGTCACCGTCGTGGCTTGCTCCGCGATCGTCGGACAACACTAGGATGCGTGTAAGAAATAGACCGGCAGTATTACGTAACCGCTATTATACAATTAATAGTGACAATGCATCAAAGACCGTAATCGCACCCTTACTGTAAGCCGTTAAAGAGTTCCATTGATCATTACATTCGACAGTGACAGACTAAGAATACAGAATGTCACCACCCTTTTCATCCCATGGGTGTCGTAAGAGTCGACTGAGGGAGCAAACTACGCAAGACAACAGCACTGCAAAGAGAAGGAAAACTTGAAACAAACCCTATACCAATGCGTCTGGCCAGCGTGGTATAGTAGGCAAAACCTTATTTCTCAGGAGAGGCCTATATCCAGCAGTGGACTAGTAAAGGCTGTTGATAACAACAATTACTTGACCATAACGACGTTACTGTAGGTGACTCAAATATCCGGATAGCCTATAAAAGATTCAGCCGGGTATCGTTAATTTGCTCCTAAGAATTGAAGAGTTCCGTTACTTTGTTATGGATCCCAAGATCAGAATCTAACCAAACTCTCAACAGTCTCTCTCTCTCTCTCTCCCTTAAAGTACATCTATTCCAATAAAAAAAAAAAAACGAAATCGGTTGGCGTGATATTGAGTTATTCATCTGTTTGTCGCGAACATACTGAATGCAAATTTAGGACTTATATGGTTTTCTCATGGACGCCATTATCAAATTGAAATGGAACCACACGGGAAACACCAGCTTTCAAATAAAAAAATAATTATCAAAATCGGTTCACCTAGTCAAAAGTTCTGAGGTAACAAACAAAAAAAAATACAGTCGAATTGAGAACCTCCTCCTTTTTTGAAGTCGGTTAAAAAACAATCGGGACAAACACAAAACAGTAAACGAACGTATGATATGGTTTTATTATATCACAACGCATAATGCATTGAATAACGCGTCGACATTCGACCGTTACCACCATGCAAATCTTGCGACAATTCATTGCAGTAAGTACGCTACCCAGCTTCACGAATGGATAACATGGTGTAGGGCAAACTTTAAATTTGTAAACATAGTAATGGTCCTAATAACGAACTGCATCGTATTTGCTCTACAATTCTTTCTAATCTATGAGTTCTACGAAAACGTAATATTTTGTAAAACCACAGTTCTAACAGCGATCTGGCATTTGTAAGTTATTCACGTGTATTTCCAATAGGCTTGAAATTATCCTGTCACAGGGATCGTTCTGGTCTGTTTATTTATGTAATTACACCCGATTGAAAATTGCATCTCATTTGGTGTCAGCTTGCGGAGGAAACTAAATCTTATGACAACGAAGTAGAGTCTTAAATGCTTAATGGGTGCAATTGGTAGAATTGAAGCCTTTCCGGAGGCGATTGTCTGTGTGGTTAGTGGTACAATTATAAGTGGGTTTGTTGAGTACCCTGTGGTTGGTCACGGCTACCGGCTACACGGCCGAGTACATCAACATACAATTGTATTTAACTAACTGTGGGAGAGCTTTCATTATAATAGCGGGTTCTTATAACGGACTTAAGAAATATCATCTATACTATTTATGAGTTAACCTACTTTTACATATCTGCATGTTGTTGATGTCTGTCGTTTGAACTTTTTATTATTGTTTGTTATTTATTTACTACAGTTAGGAAAGCAACAGCTACAAAAATGAAATTATCAACAGCGTTTAATAGTCCATTGCTAAACATAGTCCTCTTCTTTGCAAGGAGGTATTGGTCTACTATACCACGCTGGCCAGACAAAAGAAAAATGAAATGGTCAGATTGCTATACTACATCAAACCAATTACATGGTGGTCACGAATAGAATCATTGTAATTTAACAGAGGTTTTGACTAAGACGTCTATACGATAAAAAACAATAGTTCCAAAAATGTACCATATGTATGTAACAATTTAAGGTTTAGCATCCACATTTTTTTTTTTTTTTTTAGACAACTCCCGCATTAGGAATATATCCTGTGTCGCGGGGGCTTTACAAACATACATGAAACGGACACAAAGAACACCCAGACTCAGAACAACAATTTGTGGATCACACAAAGTGTTGTCCCATGTGGGGTTTGAACCCACAACACTCGGCGTAGTAGGAAGCGGCGTGGTGACCGCTTAAACCACTATGCCATCCGTGCAGTCTTGCTTTTAGTATTAAAGGGATCAAAAAGAGTACTACTTGCATAATTTATTGAAATCCTTGTTCGCTCGAAAAGCATATGAGTTTTTATTATTCTGTACACTATATTTATGTACAGAAAAGATGGCCGATGGGGCCAAAAAGTTCTCGAGTGGCGACCACGTACCGGAATATGGAGCGTATTGCTATAGAGTTTGTGTCAAGTTTTGTCAAGTCTTCTTGTCTTGTCTTCTCTTTGTGCTGTTGTTCTGCGTAGTTTGCTCTTTTAATCGGTATGAATTTAGGTTGTTACACTCCGTATTCTTGATCTGTCGCCATCCATCCATCTCTGCAAAAATGATTAAACACCACATCACATCAACAGCCTTTAATACTCTACTCTGCTGGACATAGACTTCTTAGAATCGAGGTTTTGGCCTACTTCGCCTAAAGTTATTATTACTTTCAGTTAAATTTTAACGATATTTTTTTCCAAAAACCGATATTTGACAAATAATACTCATAAAATCATCTAAAATAATACTTCATTATAATATGTGCGATTGAAAATTAATAAGAGATCCGAGTAGAAAAACAGCAAAGTTTTTTTTTTACTCATATTTTTTTTGCTTTTGTCCAAAGCAGCAAAGGCAAGTCCAAAAGTCATAACCAATAATTGCAGGCGAATTTACCACAATTGATGTAAATGTAGGCAAGGTAGCTTCATCTTCTATCGCGTCAGTATAATAGATTAAAAACAGCGCATTACCTGTCACTTCATATTGTTATTAGTATTTTGTGGAGTACGCAGTTGCTTTAACCATTGCGTGTTGAAGTCTTGATAAGATTTACCCATTCAATTCTGAAAGAGAAATCAAATTAGAGAACATTATGTTTGAAACTAATTTAAAAGTACATTGTGTGCAATTGTTTATTTAATTATCTCGAGATATTTAAAGAAGCAATTGCATACATTGTAGACTGTTGTAGATAAGGATAATGTTCTCTAATTTGATTTCTCTTTTTGACTTTGACTTATTTTGACTTTTTTCAGAACTAACTATAACTACTAATTTAAAGTTAAAAGTGAGCAAACCACGTGATGTCTCTGATGAAAAGTATATTTGTAATTTAAGTTTAGCAAATCTTGTCTAGACTACGCTACCCAGAAAGAACCAAAAGTAAAGATAGTAAGTCATACTTATATATAAGCTTTGCCCTTCTACTTCGAAAAGGTATTCGAAATAAAACCGTCAGCAGTAGAATTGAATCAAGAATAATTGCCACTGAAGACAAGATTCAAATGCGGAATGAACCCTCGCTTCAAGAATCCCCGAGTTAATTAACATCGATAGCTGTATACAATATCTTGTTCACAAATATAAGTATAACGTTCTAATCCAGAAGATTGCACAAGCGCTGTTCGCGAGCACGTTCACACTTAATGTTCGTCGTCGGATTTAAACTCAGCCATGCGCCGTTGTTAGTGCGGAGAATACGCCACACAATCAGTGCTGTATTTTTAATTAACTGTAGGTTGTGGTACACAATTGTTCTTGTTGTTCCTATATCACTTAAAGAGTTATTTTAGACAAATATAAAATACTGCGTCTACTTATAATGCACAGAAAAACATCTTAACTAGTTCAAACTAGTATCGCTCGTACATATTATAGGGCCAAAATCCTAATACTTTTTAATTTTAAACCTAAAGATTTACATTAATCTTGCATAAAGACTTGTTAGCAGATGCTGATAGCTAAGAAATAGCGTTAACATAAAGCTTTAATGAAATTTTTATATATCATTTGAACAAAGATAATTTCTTTCTTAAAATTTATGTATACAGATTAATTTGGTATTATTATTAAGTGACGTATGGAATACCAGGATACCATACTCAAAATACAACACATTTTTATTATATCTTATTTCATAAGCAGGCATGCCACTGCTTCACAGGGAGAACAGAACGCGCTAATGAAATTACCGGTGTTCACAATATTATTTGACTTTGATGAAAACCTATATCAGTATATGAAGGATTGTAAGTTTGTTTGGTACCATATTAGTATAGAAGTCCTTTTATAGTATTTTTAAATTGTTTGAAATTCTAATTTTTAAAATGGTAGCTAAAAAATCTTTACTACACATAATAGTATGTTTATTTTTACATATTTTAATACTATAAAGTACACCAGACTACCCTAAATCATATTTGGCAATATCCGTATAAAGGGATAAGACCGCCTATTGTAATACCACATGTAGATGTCCATCCATGTCTGTACAATATATACTATAGCGGTGTACAATAAAGATGTATAAATAAAAAAATAAATAAATTTTATATTTATTGAGTCATCGTCCTGACCCATCTGTAGTTCTGGATAGTTTCACTTAGGGATCTAGTTGCACGGTAGTTCCCCCGCCAGGTTGAGCAAAAACACATAAAAACGACATGGTGCGTGGGTTTTTAACAGGTATCGTTCTCACATATTGTTATCTATTATGCCTCACATATCACACACCCACTGCATTTAACTGTCTTGTAAGAACACATAGACAAACACAAATATTGACACTATTTCTTTTTTCTAAAGTTGATCTGTAAATAAAGTTTCGATGCCACACAAGTTGTACACCGTTCTTTACTAGTTGGAGAATAATTTATAGTGATTGAATGTAACTTCGTAGGTACTCACTTCGTATCCAGCTACTGGTATATTGTTATCTTGAATTGATTTAAAAAAATATCACTTAAATATAACTTTAAATAATATTTTCAAAAACTATTTTTTTTTTATTAATAAAATGGGTCACACGTTATCAGTATTGTTGTTAATCCCTTCATTTAAGCTGCTAATAGCTAAGCACGTCGATAGTGTAGATACTGAGTGGGATTCGAATCCAAACCTACTTCATCGCAAGGCCGAACCATTACGTTATTATTGCGTGTTCTTATAGATCAAGTAATTAAATCATAAGTTACATAAACAATAAACATATTATATTTAACACAACAGTTAACATAAAGTTCTAAATTCACTACCATTGAGGTCTAACTCTCCTTCTGATCGTTAAAGTACTTATTAAATACTGATCTTTTTCAACAAATATATTTGGTATGTGAACTACGAAAGTTAGTTTTTAATTATAACAAACATTAGAAGGTAGTTGTGAAGCCACTTCTATTGTAATACTCGTATATTCCCATCCGAGGATAGGCCGGGATTAAGTTGAGCACATTGAGGCAGATAAGTTGCGCAGTAACCCGACGCCTCCGAGAGGGAACGGGCTGCGTAGCACTGCTCGATGGCTCAATATTGCAGCGCCGTTGCACTGCGGTCTAGAAGCTATTGTATTAAAGAGCTTACCGTGTACATGACAATTTCAGTAGGTTAGACTGGAATTGTTCTCCGTTCATAAACAGCTTTGTCAAATAAGAAAAATTACAATACGCTTAAGATAGAATTTGAATTCCTAATACATTTATCAAGTGAAATATTCTTTTATGTTTAGTACTTATAAATCTTATTTAAATATGGAATAATTTTTAGAGTGATAAATGTATCGAACTCAAAAATTTGAGCTAGATCTCTTTTGGAACATTTAATAAATAACAGATAATCTCCTGTCGATATCATTCAAGAACTCCTTGGCACTTTGGCCAGATCTGCGGCAAGTTCCTACAACATAGAAGTGAAAGGCACGTGTTCTACAAATGAGTATGGAATATGATTCTCAGCTTAAAACACCACGGTTCTACGGTTTTGATAAGAATTTAATAAATGATGTAATTGTAAAAAAACCTCCTAAAATTGCACTCTGTCATACATATTCGCGTACCCAAAAAAACACCGTACCTATTCTTTTTCACACTCTGGATCTTTTCTGAAGAGTGTCGTACTGAATGGCTATGGAGTGTAGTGGCGGGTGTGGCTCCAAAGACTCCATTAAAACTTACTTCTCAAGCTTTTAGGAAAAAAGTTATGTCTATAGCAATACGTTTTGAAGCTTCATATTTTAATACAAAAAAATCTCTTTTAACCTACAGTATATTTTTAACCCGCGACGGAAAACGAGGGGTGATACGAGTATAAGTTTAACCTGTGTATTTGCGTATCTGTGTATTTGTCTGTCTGTCTATGCCTGCTCCCGAACGCATAAACCAATTTCGATGCTGATTTTTTTGTTCGAAAGCCGATGTGATCGAGATTGTTCTTAGCTACAAATTTTGAAGATCATCGGCTTATTTTCTGGGTGATGAAAGGACCTCACTAAAATCCACAGGTCCGATTGATTTGAAATTTGGTATACTGTTACTTGTTATTTCCAAGACATGGTAACCTGGAACTTGCTGCTGCATCGAGTAGTCTGTAGGATAGCCAACTTTTTAGAAAATTACAGTTTGAGCTTATTAGAACAATTACATATTTGAGCTTATTAGAACAGTCTCAATGAGCAGTTGTTGTTATTTAAAGTTTTTTAATGATACTATTATAATGTAACTCTTTTGATGCTAACTTGAGCTAAGAGGGGTCAACTAAAATGGTTTTAGTGGCACTTCAATTGTTTGCATTAGTCAATCTATGTTAACTAATAAAATGAAAGTTATGAATATTGGTTAAGTTTCGGTTTCGATAATAATATATTCTATGATTTAAATTCGGAAAACAAATATTCTATTATTTAAATTTTAAAAGTTAGAAAGAACTATTCCTTAATGCAGGATAATAGGTCAAAACTCCTTTGAAAATACATAGTAAATTGAACATAACAATAATACTGCTCTGCTATTTACAACCTTGTTAAGAAAAAGGTTTTACAATTAATTTTCAGCTGTTTAATCTTAATGAGACATGTTTAGTGCCGTAGATTTTTATCTTAATTAAGTAGATATCTTTTTGCATTGAAAATTCTATTTCCTGGTTTCCAATTTGAAAACCACGCTTCTTGCCCTTTTTTATTTAAAGCCATAGCGACCATTTGTCTCTAACAAATGCTGTCTCTAGCAAAAGGGGAAATAATAATAGCGACTCATTAACAAGTACTAGGTATTGCTTGCAGGTCAAATTCTGACCGTTTTGAATGTCTTGTTCTTCAAAATATATACATATATATTATGTAGTCTGTGTGTTAAGTAGCCGTTTTCACGTGATTTGTTAATTATCACAACTTATGTACTTATAACATACTACATTTTACCCGCTGCTCCGCCCGCACGTGTGTCGCTTGTCACGGAATCAAGCAGTCTATGTTACTCGCCCATAATGTAGCTTTACATTGGTGAAATAATTTTTGAAATTGGTTTGAAACGTGAAGGCCTAAGAAACAAACAAACTGGCTTATATTATTATAATATAATTATCGCAGTATGAATTGTTTAAAAATTGTAGCCAGGTGCACTCCGTCTACATATAAACATTTAGAATTCTGATCATAATTTGATACAGTGCGTAATATTTGTTTAAAAAGAAAAAATATATACTCTTGTTAACTCCTAAAGTTAAGCTAAATGCTTCTCTTAGCGGGATTACCTTTTTTGCACAAAAAAATCTTAAGTTATGTTTTTGTTTCGCAGGCGGAGGAACTGAACTCGCTGGTGGGAGATGCTTTCCGAATGGCGTTCGCGTCGCAGCTGCAGCCCTCCGCACCGCTCTGGGTAAGTGTCGTCAAAACAACAAAATATCATTGTGTGTAACATGTACTTGTCTTATGATGTATGTATGACATATGTGCACCTGATCATGGAAATAAACTTACGTATTAAGGGGAACATAAAAAGCAATTGTTCATTGGACCAAATTTGATCCAAATCGTTAGAGCTTCTTAGAGATACCTGACATACCTATATCCATTTTTATACGTACAAGAACTGATTTTGCGCTGAACTATTCAGGAATCATCGGAAATCACACTTCCAAAGTGTGCGTAGTTGGCGCCATAACGCATTAAAATGCCAGTTTACTTAAACACGTAAGTTATTAAAGCACATGATTTATTGATCTGCTGTACAAATAATCTACCGTGCAGAAATACGTCTAGCCAGGTCTATACGTCAAAAAGTTGTTTAGTCATGGAATATTGCTAGCTTCGTGCCGCGTCTAATCTCAGATTTTAAATGGAACCCAAATTAAAAAAAAGTAAAAGAAAAGTAGCCAAGTTACAACTTGTAATATGACAGTCTCGTAAAAATCGGTCCATCTGTTTCAGATACCACAGACAGACAGATACACTAAAATTTAGAATATTTAAATTGTTTGGTATTAGTATAGCAATCTCAAACATATACATAAATAAAAAAGCTGATAATATTTTGACTATTTTTGACATTAAAAACTGAAAATCTATTTTTTTTATTGGTGTAGTTTTTTTTAAATTTCACAATCACAAGGAGAACTCACACAATTTACCTTAATCCAAATACGAATGAAATGATCGACCATATCATGAAGCGATCCCTTTTATGATCTGACCACGATATGGTACTACTCTAACGAAACCTTGGAAGTAGTAAAAAACTAATCGAAAATAGAAACATTAGTTTATTTCCCGTCAATGAACTAATAATATCAATAAAATGATCCCCTCTTTATTTTTTTTTGTATCAAAATTTGTAACATTAGTATGCTAATATAATATATACCTATACTAAATACATACACGCACTCACATCTTAATCCCAAAGATCTAACCAGAGGCATTTCAAACACCCATATTAATACATAATTAATATTTATTAAACTGTAAAAGCATAGGGCTCAAAATCTAACAGCAACGTATCTTCAAGTACGACCTTTTGGCTGACCATAAACATTGTATGTTAGTGGTGAGTAAATCTTAGTTTAGTTTCTAGTTCATAACAAAACAAGTTAAACGTTCAACATGTTTTGCTTTACTTGGTACACAAATACTGAGTATGCACTAACGTTTATGAATGCGGTATAGCGATACACGGTGTTGGTGTAAGGCAGCTGCACATTAGTTGTGATTTAGTGCGATGGAAATTCTGCCCTAATATTTGTACTTTCGTTAGACTAGGAGATAGATTGCAGCATGAAACTAATAAGATGACTACCGTGAGTGGCATAAGTACCAGTTCTAGTAAAAAAAAATAAGTTTCATTTTACACGAATTGTATGTTATGGTATTTCATCAACAGCCTTTACTAGTCCACCTGTAGGTGTACCTAGGAACCGATTTGGAAAATTATAAATATCTTTAATATTGGTCATTCAATAAAAATTGAATAGATTCTTCCCGTGTGGTCCCATTTAAACGGAAGACAACGTGACACCCCTAAGGGTGGAAAATTAAAGAATGAAGAAAACATTTTATAAGAATTCATCATGACGAAGGCACATTAAAGTCAGAAACACTTTTTAAAATATAATTATTACATTAAAGAACTGCATCATATTTTATTATAAGTACTTTAAAGAAATGATGAAATGCACATTAGTTAGTAGAACGACTATCTTCACATAAAGTCAAAACATTTCAGAGTAATACGAGTAAATATCACGGCAGTCGAAATAACCAGACAAAAAGCTTCCATTAGAGGAGCGTAAATACCGTTTTTATCACACCACTTAAAATCCCTTTACAGTTTTTTATTGAATCTAAATCCATCATCTCGTGAGCTATCAATCATATATAATCTGTTTTGTAAACAGAGCTGATGTGTTTAAAACTAAGAGCCGTCAATATTGTGCGAGTGTACTATTAACAGTTAAACGCTCCCAGCTCCCGTCCTAACCGCACCCGTTGCCGCCTCTAACACTGTAATGATATGTTTAGAACAAGTTAAAAACCAAGGTTAAATAAACACCGAGGTTGTATGAATGGGTAGTGGGTTTTTGTGAATATTAATAGTGTATACGTTATAAGGCAGTCATCTCGTATTTAGATATTGTGGCTTTTAAGGACCATCAACATGTTTCAATAAAGTTTTGTTTCTTTAAATTCATTAACGGTTAATCTGTAGAATTGTCACACTAAATTCAATGCGTCTTTTGTATTAGATAGTGTGTTTATTGGCAAATAATGATGATGATTTATAGCCCATCTATAAATCATCATCATCATCAATCATCAACAGCCTTTAAAAGTCCCCTGCGTGACATAAGCCTCTCCTTAGAAAAGAGGTTTTAGCCTACTATACCACGCTGGTACGACGGGATGGTATAGGGTTGTTGTTTTACCTTCTCTTTGCAGTACGGTTTTCCTTAGTCGACTCTATGAATGAATAGGGGTGGTGAGACTCCGTATTCTTAATCCGTCACCACACGGACTCTCGTGGGCTATAAAACATCACACTAAAATTCGTCAGGAAAGTGACCGGTAGCGAGACTGCTGGTTTTCGCCTTTAGACGAAAAATTGTAAGCTTTTTTGGGATGCGATCACTATTTAATTTGTAATCAATTTTATTAAATAAATTGGAAAAGATTTTGTATTTAAAATGACTTACATATAGCAAGAGTAAATTATAATTAGGAGTTGTAACATGACGTCTTTCCCAACATATTACAAGTAGAATGTTTTTAGTAAGCGATTTACCAGATTCCAAGAACAAGCGTTAACTGAAGTTGTTCAATCGACTCTAGTCATAATCATTACTCGTCGCGAAGTAGCGCCGGTTTCATTTGTTCAAAAGTAAGATAGACGAGATCAGGCGTTTAAACTTCCTCTACCAAATATTGTAGAGGTAAAATATTTACCAGAAAGTTATTTCAATTATTGATTATCACCAACAGCCTTTAATAGAGCACTGCTGGACATATTCCTCTTTTTATAAAGGAGGCCTTCTATATCAAGCTGGCCAGACGGGTTGGTAAAGGGTTTATTTCAAGTTTAGCTTCACTATGCAGTGCTGTTATCCTGCAGAGTTTGCTCCCGTAGTCGGCTTTTACGACACCCAGGGGATAAATAGGAGTCTTAACATACCGTATTCTTAATCCGACTCCACGTTTTTAGTTATAATTAGAGACATCAACACAAAGTTGAAAGAACATCATTTCGTCCCCATGTCATAGAGCAAGCCACATTCTGAATTAGCCCTGGGAGAGTAATTCTTTGGCACGTATGAGCCAGCTTGATTTATGTAAAACTATGGTCTCGGAATAATCTAATGTTAAGAAATGCCTTCGTTGTTATGAGTGTACTCAGAGAGTGAGGCTATCGGAGGAGTGGAAGTAGAGTCCAATCAAGTTAAGAAACTATTCGTGGTAACAGGTTAAGGGTTGATATGTGGACAGTTGGAAATATTACATCTTCAAATAATAACTGCAACATAGCGGTGGAGATACGCTTGATATCGTACATGTTAATACCATGTATTGGTCCTGAAAATATAAGAATGCACAAGTGCCGAACTTTACAAACAAGTTAGAAGAAAGAATAAGTTCTATTTTTCAAATTAGTTAGTTACTTATAAAAAGCCATTAAAATAAAACCATCTCACATAAATCATAAATAAGTATTGAAAAAACGCATATTGATCAATAGAGAATGTAAAATCTAGTTAATTGTTTTATCTAAAGGTTAGTTTGCCTCTCTCAAGACCGGTGCATGATCTTATTACAAAGCTACAATAATTGTATAGTATTGGAACCTTAAGACTGACAGCACCCTCCCTCGAAGCTCGGCTTACAACCGCAGACGTGGAGAATTAAAATGTTGGGTTTCTAACACCTGAAAACTTCGTTCAATAATAGTGACAGTGTCAACTACCATAATCTTTAAAACATCACAAATCTGTATACTGATATTTAACATTCATAACTTACAATATTAGGTGAGGTACCTATGCATACCTGGCATCTTTTAAGCAACTTTTTTTAAATATAATTTTGATAGAAAAGGTCCCATGACTAGCAATATATTCCTAAAATTTATTACTGTAACTTAATAATGTGATATTTCATATTAAACACATAAAAACAAAACACTGACAAAGCTACAAATGCAGGAATGCTGGCTGGTGCTCTTTGAAAGCAAACACCAGCTGTATTTTTATGCATAAAACCTATTTACAACCTTGACCCAAATTCTTTTAATAATGAAGAAGCTAATGGAATGAAGGAACTATTGGTCTAGTAGCACCCTGACTGCTCAGCCGGCGGTGGATTCTCACCCAGAGCAAATAATTGTGTGATCGCAAAGTGTCGTTCCATGTGGGGATCGAACCCACAACACTCAGCGTAGTAGGAAGCGGCGTGGTGACCGCTTAAACCACTACGCCATAAGTGCAGTCAATAAGATGTGTCAAGTTATTACCTATTATTATAATTTGTTAAACAATAAATAAATGTCTCAATCTCAATAATTTTCCTTTCCATCAATCTCTAGTGCACCTAGTCACACATTTCAGCACCAGTACCTAAAGTAGAATGCGAGAAAATGCCTGTGGCATTAAGTCCGCCATTGTACAACCCACACTTGTGCATAAAGTATTAAAATAAAAAATAAAATAAACCTTAATGTTTAGGACATAAATACAGTTTATTAAAGAAACTAGTGTAAGATTTTAATCACTATTTGAAATAAAACAATCTAAATTATTTGACGCGTACCTAAGCTGCTTGTACGAGTATGTCTGACCGAAGCGAGGTTCAGATTACAACCGCGAAACAGATATGTTTCTGTAGCTGAATCAAATT